AACGGATGGAGGAAATGGGATGAGCGGGGGGACATGGGATGAATGGGATGGGAGGACGGAATGGGGGAAAAGGGATGAGCGGGGGAAGATGGGATGAATGGGATGGGAGGAAACGGATGGGGGGAATGGGATGAGCGGGGGAGAGATGGGATGAATGGGATGGGAGGAAACGGATGGGGGGAATGGGATGAGCGGGAGAGAGATGGGATGAATGGGATGGGAGGAAACGGATGGGGGGAATGGGATGAGCGGGGGAGAGATGGGATGAATGGGATGGGAGGAAACGGATGGGATGAATGGGATGGGAGGACGGAATGGGGGAAAAGGGATGAGCGGTGGAAGATGGGATGAATGGGATGGGAGGAAACGGATGGGGGGAATGGGATGAGCGGGGGAGAGATGGGATGAATGGGATGGGAGGAAACGGATGGGGGGAATGGGATGAGCGGGGGAGAGATGGGATGAATGGGATGGGAGGAAACGGATGGGGGGAATGGGATGAGCGGGGGAGAGATGGGATGAATGGGATGGGAGGAAACGGATGGGGGGAATGGGATGAGCGGGGGAGAGATGGGATGAATGGGATGAGAAGAAGCGGATGGGGGAAATGGGATGAATGGGACGGGGAGGATACGGATGGGGGAAAAGGGATGAGCGGGGGGAGATGGGATGAATGGGATGGGAGGACGGAATGGGGGTAAAGGGATGAGCGGGGGGGGATGGGATGAATGGTATGGGAGAAAGCGGATGGGGGGAATGGGATGAGCGGGGGAGAGATGGGATGAATGGGATGGGAGGAAACGGATGGGGGGAATGGGATGAGCGGGGAAAAGATGGGATGAATGGGATGAGAGGAAGCGGATGGGGGGAATGGGATGAATGGGATGGGGAGGATACGGATGGGGGAAAAGGGATGAGCGGGGGAAGATGGGATGAATGGGATGGGAGGACGGAATGGGGGTAAAGGGATGAGCTGGGGGGGATGGGATGAATGGTATGGGAGGAAGCGGATGGGGGGAATGGGATGAGCGGGGGAGAGATGGGATGAATGGGATGGGAGGAAACGGATGGGGGGAATGGGATGAGCGGGGGAGAGATGGGATGAATGGGATGAGGGGAAGCGGATGGGGGGAATGGGATGAGCGGGGGGAGACGAAATGGGAAAAATGGGAATGGAATGAGCGGAAAGGCGAGGAGGTGGGATGGCGGAAAAGGGAGGAGGTGGGATGGCGGAAAGGGGAGGAGGTGGGATGGTGGAAAGGCGACGAGGTGGGATGGCGGAAAAGGGAGGAGGTGGGATGGCGGAAAGGGGAGGAGGTGGGATGGTGGAAAGGCGACGAGGTGGGATGGCGGAATGGGGAGGAGGTGGGATGGCGGAAAGGGGAGGAGGTGGAATGGGGGAAAGGGGAGGAGGTGGGGTGAGATGACGGAGTGGGGAGGAGGTGAGATGGCGCGAAGGCGAGGAGGTGAGATGGCGCCAAGGCGAGGACGTGGGATGGCGGAATCGGCGGGAAATCTGACGGCGCTTTAGGCGAGGAGACGTAATGGCGAGCTCCCGAGAAGCTGGAACTCCAGGTCGCGGACGAGTAGGAACGCGCGGAGGTGGAAGCAAGAGGGATGGCGGACGTTTAGGAGGTGGTGGAACGGTGAAACGGGAGAGTAGGAGATTGGATAGAGACTGGAAGGGAAAAATGTGGTGTCGAGCAGTGAAAGTCGAAGATTCCTGAGAAAATTGAATGGTCGAAGTTACATGAACACTTGTGATGGATTCGAGTGTATTTGTGAGATTTGCATGGACAGGCGAGCATGCGCCTTGCTTTCGCGGCGCGTTCAAGAGGGAGGTGTTTGGTTGGACTGAACGAAAGGGTGGTTGCTAATTTCATCCAATGCCAGATCGTCATGCGACGAGCCCCGACGCTTCAGTGCTCTGGACCGAACAACCTCGTTCACCCAATTTCTTCCAACGGTAGATCACCAATGAAAGGCCACCACGCCAGAACCTCCGACAAACTTGGAACAGAGGATGAATCTGTCCAGTCCAAACAATCAGCGTGGATCGACTGCGACTGGTATGGATCATGAATCCAGATAAGAACCACTGCTGTTACAACACGTGGGATGTAAACAAGGTTGGGCACACACTATAGTTGGATAATGATTATGTACTGCTTACCTGTTACTGCCTCTATATTAACTCCTGGTTTATAAACATGTACTAAGGAAACCAACAGAATAGTACAATTAACTACGTCAACCTATAGTCAGATATATATACACAGAAGTGCTAACCTTTTGAGAACGACCATATCTATTCCATGTTTTGTTGTAAACGCACCCGTCCTAAACTTACAACTATGTTGGTATTTACCGTCACATACAGTAAGATAAGCATCGATGATTTATCATGACTAGACAATTAGATCCCATAATCATGTAATCTCTGCAACACCATACAAAAAAAAAATCTACTGAAGGGTTGAAAAGGATTGGCTTTTGAATTTAGCATTCATGATAGCGTCCAACGTAAGAGTTTTTATAAGTGTGACTACAATTTCTGTTACAAACACTAAATCCAGTTTTTATCAAAGCTTCTCAAACGCTCCAGACTAGTGGGAAATAACGCACCAACCTCTACGCGAAGCACAAGGCTGCCGAACCTGTTTTCTTCCAGCCAGGCTGCACCGGACCTGCCATTCACCCCTCGACCTGTGCGCATATGCCAAACAGGTTGACAGGGTGCATGACACGAAATTGAATTGGGCAGCTTTTCGAGTTTCGGCCAATCGCGGCTGACCAGCAATACACTATCAATCGTCCTTCAACTCAACCTGCAGCCGCGATAACACACAAGTACATCCCAACTTCCGATCAAGTTGATTTCGGAGGTTGGCTGTTCTCCGATGTAAAATGTTTAGTTATACTATACCCGTCGCAGCTAGCTGTGGGTTCGCTCTAGGCACACACCTAACAGTTCCTTATTCTCTCGACCCTGTGGGCTTCGCTCCTGTCCCTTGTCACGGAGAGAATGACTCCAGTGGCCAATAAGGTGATTCACCATCCCTCGCGTGGCCACGAATGACTCGAGTGGCCACCAAATTTGGTGATAATGACTCGAGTGGCCACGCCAGGGGATTCTTGCTGGCTTTTTTCTCTTTAGCGCATTACCCTACGGGGCTTTGTAGCCACGAAATTCCCCATTCGTGCGAGTGGTATCCTTAGATACTGTTCCGTTCTGTTCCGCACCCGAAAATTTCGCCCACACACTGTACACAAAACCGTAAAAAATGCACGACCAACAGTAGTTGCACGGTCATTTTCGGCCCAATGCCCGACCAATGAGCGCGCGGTAAAAATATCAGCGATCATAAACTGCTCTGCGGGGGCATAAATGCGCGAACACATTAGTGACCGCGGGCAAAAAAAAAACTAAAACCCACTCGGAAGGCATGCCATCCGAGGGAGCCTCAACCCTAAAATTTTAGGGTTGAGGCTCCCGAATGGCATGCCGTAAGCCATGGGGTTTATTTTTTTATCACCTTAGGGTAATGCGCCGTGAAAATAAAAGCCAGCAAGAATCCCCTGGCGTGGCCACTCGAGTCATTATCACCAAATTTGGTGGCCACTCGAGTCATTCGTGGCCACGCGAGGGATGGTGAATCACCGTTTTGGCCACTGGAGTCATTCTCTCCTTGTCACGACACAACTCAACTCAACTCACCCATCGCGAATGTTCTGGTTTCAACATCTCGCCAACCCCCTCGCCAACGGTTTCGTTTTTCGTTTGAGCAACGTTCAGAGGCGCACTGTTCAAACTCCACTAAGGCCGCGTGTCTTTTGGTGTAGATGTTCGGATTTTCGGTTGAACTTTTGCTGGTTACTCTATTCGTTAATTTCGTCAAAACATTCGCCAGGACGTCGTGTGTCCACGTACACTTCCGGCATCGGAAAATGTTGAGCCCCCAAGTTGAACCCTCATCAACAAACAGGTTGGCACGAATGTGCGAGCGTGTGTCCACCTCATCACTGACAGCGACGATGCGAAGTCTGCGACGCTCGCAGCTAGCATCGTGCGCACGAGGGTGCTCGTCAGCGCGAGTCCCGGTGGCGCGATGTCAAGAGCCCAAACCGGGTAACCTACAAGCGTAGGTCGCGGCTCGGCTGGGCTGCAAAAGTTCAACTTCGATAGTTGAACTTTTGTTTGTCGCGTGATTTTCGGGAGGGGTGGAACCGCGGCTCGGTTTGCAGTTGGTGAAAACTCGAGCCTAGCTCGAGCTAGGTTCATATGACTACAGTTCAACAAAAAATTCGAGATTTGCATGTAAAAACCGAAAGACACGCGCCCTAACGAATCACCTGGAGGAGAGCAGCCCGCCGTGACGACAACAGCGAGTCGTCCAACCAGTCGGCTCGGATCCCTTTCGCGCCAACACTCTGGCAGCTTTGCGGGGTGGAGCGCATCACCTCGCCTCGCTTCTCCCACAATCCCACCATTTCCCCGCTTCCCGCGCAGACCCATCACATCCCGCGGCTCACCCAAGCCTTTTCGCAAGAGTTTGCTGACGTGGTACAGCAACGTGTTTACCCCTAACCAAGTCTAGTCAAGGCGACAGACTCCCATCTGACCGTTCCACTCGTCGCAAAAAATAAGAACGCGATAAAAGTAGACGATCCTGTGGCGATCGATTTCCCACTTTTACCGCGTCCAATGTTGGTATTCATCACAGTCGGCTATCGTACTTCCCAGTTACTAAACCTGCTCTCACTCGCTCGCGTGCGCTTCGCGTTTAGCACTTTTTGCTTCGTAGCGAGCTAATCGGTTTCGCCGCGGCCTCTCGGATACTGTACAAGTCTGCCGTGGCATTAATAATTTCGAGTGTAAAAGAATTAACAGCACCGTAAGTCGGACGTGGAACGGGCAGAAGCGCGTCAGCCGTGTGGGGCGGAGCAGAGCGAGTTTCTTCCTTGACGTGAGGTTCGCCTTCGCCTTGGATCATCATGAATCATGGCGGACGCGACCGCCCGAGGAGGTGAGGCCCATCGCTTCCGTTTTCCTTTGTCTCCACGAGAGAAGCATTCCCCCTCGCATTGCGAGCATGCGTCGCCAGCGCTTTAGTCGAATTGCTGTGCGGCGGTACCCCGCGGCGGTAGCTCGTCGCCGTCCACCCCCGCGTCGCGTCGTGCGCCATGCGGGACGCGACCTCGCCGTCTAGAGAATGAACTGTTAGACGGTTGAATTGTCGACATTGTCAACCGCTGCCGCACGTCAAGACACATTCGGGTACAAATTCTATGTTACCACGCACTCTCGACTCACCGTCACTCCGCTCCGAGCCACGCGCGCCACCCCCGCCCACCGTGTTGCCATCGTAGCGCGATCCCACAGCTACAACGTATTGCTCCACTCGCTGCTGCCTCGCCACGTCGGATGGCCGTCGAGGCGCCTGCCAGCCGTCAGCGTCAGCCGCATCACAGCGCCTGTCGTCATGTCAACGTGGCTCTTGCGTTGCCTCCGAGTAAGAGCGTCCCTCGGAATCACCACTCGCGGCGTCACCACTCGCGATGTCACCACCTTTGCTTCTCTGCCGCGTGCCCTACCATCTGGCAGGTCCCCGCGCCAGGAGCCCGAGGGGAGGCAGCCCGCGCGGAGGCAGCCCGAGGGGAGGCAGCCCGAGGGGAGGCAGCCCGAGGGGAGGCAGCCCGAGGGGAGGCAGCCCGAGGGGAGGCAGCCCGAGGGGAGGCAGCCCGAGGGGAGGCAGCCCGAGGGGAGGCAGCCCGAGGGGAGGCAGCCCGAGGGGAGGCAGCCCGAGGGGAGGCAGCCCGAGGGGAGGCAGCCCGAGGGGAGGCAGCCCGAGGGGAGGCAGCCCGAGGGGAGGCAGCCCGAGGGGAGGCAGCCCGAGGGGAGGCAGCCCGAGGGGAGGCAGCCCGAGGGGAGGCAGCCCGAGGGGAGGCAGCCCGAGGGGAGGCAGCCCGAGGGGAGGCAGCCCGAGGGGAGGCAGCCCGAGGGGAGGCGGGCCGAGGGGAGGCGGGCCGAGGGGAGGTGGGCCGAGGGGAGGCAGCCCGAGGGGAGGCAGCCCGAGGGGAGGCGGGCCGAGGGGAGGCGGGCCGAGGGGAGGCAGCCCGAGGGGAGGCGGGCTGCAGCGGGTGGCGAAGGAACGCCGCATGTGGGCGAGGGCGCTGAGCGGGCGAGGCAGGAGCGCGAGCTGGTGCTGCTGGTGGCCACCGCCGAGTCCAACATGCAGCTCGTCCTCGCCGAGATCGCCTCGCGCTCCCGCCTCGCTGCCGGTGAGAGCAGGTGCTGCCGGTGAGAGCAGGTGCTGCCGGTGAGAGCAGGTGCTGCCGGTGAGACAGGGTGTTGGTGGTGAGAGAAGGCAATTTATATGTTCTATTGTTTTTTTTTCCCTCTCTCTGCCAACCATACCCGGCCATCAGAGGGAGTGCCGGCTACCATGAGCAGCTCTCTGTTGCGGATGCTCGCCGCCCATCGTGCCACTGTTGATGCCACGCTTGCTGCTGCCACGCTTGCTGCTGCCACAACTGCTGCTGCCACAACTGCTGTTGCCGCAACTGCTGCTGCCACAACTGCTGCTGCCACAACTGCTGCTGCCACAACTGCTGCTGCCACAACTGATGCTGCCACAACTGATGCTGCCACAATTGCTGCTGCCACAACTGCTGCAGCCACACTTGCGGCTTCGTGCGGCTGCCACACCTGTTGCTGTTGGTGTAAGGGCCTAATAAACTCAAGCTATTAGGATTTAATCAAACTTAAAACCTCTCCTCCGGGTCACCTCCAAGGGTCCCTGGGTGCCTGGTACAAGACCAGCCCCTATCCTCGGGTCCGAGTTTGTAGAGAGAGGGATCAAGAAGGACTTAGTCAAAACAGCAAGAGTACCTTGAACGTCGCGCAGCGTGCCGTGCAGACCGTCGATCGGATTAAGCTGAGAATTCGCTATATCGAAGCTCGCTCCAAGAGATTTAAAATGAGCCAAGTTGCCTCGCGAAAAGTTCTGCCATTACGAAGTTATGGCTCAGACGGTGTTTGCCTAGCATTAGAGTGCTAGCGTACTAGCGTTGACTCGGGTAGCATTCCGCCAACGAACCGCGTAGAAACGAAATTCCAGCGAGGAAGGAATTCACATGAATCAATTTGACTATATTCAGGTACAAACAGAGAAGGATTAAATAGTTCTAGCTAGCAAGGACCTTGGGAATCAACCTGGGAACAACCAGGGATGATCCCAAATAATTCCAAGCAACAGAACCAACCTGGCTGGACAAAATAGCAGGTGGTAGGTTGGTAAACAACCTCTGGTTCTGTTTTTCCAACCTGGGAAAACAACAACCAGGTTCAGGTTCTAAAAACAGAACCTGTTTTGTCTTTGCCCAACCAGCCAAATGCTGGTTCCGCTGGTTTCCCCTGGCCTTGTAGCATGCAGATACAGACAAACAACATCCAACCTTCACCTAAATTGTACCCCTATAGTGCCTTCCCTGCTACACTATAGTTAACCAAACAAAACAGTACAATTTCGAGTTGGATAGAACTGAATCTGCGCAATCAACTCAACCGAACTGCAAAGCTTCCATCTTGGGTTCCTTTGCGAGCTCGTCCTTTCTGCTTGCACTGTTCATAGCGCATACAATGTTGTGCCAAAGCGCACATTGCGCGAGTACCTGCAAATGCATCAAGCGAAAAATGCGAAAGCAAACAAACACACGAACACACCATTCACACGCAAATGCATTCGCACACGCATACTCGTACAAACAGACGGCAGGATGTCGTGCAATGTGCATTTGCACCCAACACACTCCCCCTCAGCCTGCCGGCTGCATCCCCGTCATTCCATGCTAGTTCATGCTCATTCCACTCATGCGCACACAACGCCAATGAGGCTCATCCGCAAGCCTCTTGGTGAGAAAGTCTGCTGGCTGCTGGTGAGTCTTGATGTAGATTGGATTCACCGTCCCCCTCTTCACCTCCTTACGCAGCCAGTGCCACTTGATACGCATGTGCTTGTTCAGCCCATGAAGCACAGCGTTCCTGGCCATCCCAAGAGCCCCCTTGCTATCACAAAACAGCGGCGTAGCAACTTTCTGCTCCTGGCCAATCTCCTCTAACAGCCTCCTCAGCCAAATCACCTCCTTCACCCCATGGAACATCGCCATGTACTCTGATTCTACGGAAGAGAGTGCCGTCTCCGTCTGCTTCTTGGACCTCCAACTAACAGGTCCTCCCCCAACTACGCAGATGTATCCTCCCACAGATGAGGAATCCTCCTTCTCAGAAGCCCATGTAGCATCGGTAAAGCAAGTGAGAAATAGCTTGCCTTCTCCAAGCCTCTCCCCCTTCTCTTTCAGCACCTCCACCCCTTTCTGCTTCACCTGTGCAGATGCGGAGTATTGAACTCCAATGCTTGGGTGAGAGTTCAGGTACTTCACCACACACTCAGCTGCATCCACCTGCTCCTCTGATGGATTCTGCACCACCCTAGCCAGCTGCCCAACCGAGAAAGAGATGTCGGGCCTCGTGTGAACTGCTGCGTACAAGAGGCTGCCCACCAAGGACTGAAATTGCTGCTGCTCTTCAGCTTCAACCCCTTCATCCTCTGCAGCCTTCACAAGCTTGAATTCTGCTGGCAGGGGAGTTGCAACCTTGCGCTCATTCTCAATCCCATACTTCTCCCCCAGCTCCTTGATGAACTTCTCCTGGTGCAGCTTCAACCACCTGTGATCTGGATCCCTCTCCACGTGCATCCCGAGGTAGTACTTTACCTCCCCAAGGTTCTTGCACTTGAAGTTTTTCATCAGTTGCTGCTGCACTTTCTGGATCTCCTTCATGCTGCTGCTGAAGAGAAGAATGTCGTCCACATAGACCAGAAACAGCACCAGCTTCTCCCCCTCGCCCTTGAGAAAGAGGCTCTCATCACAGCTGCTGGTCCTGAATCCCATCTCCTCTAAAACAGCTGCCAACTTCTGGTACCAGCAGCGTGGCGCCTGCTTCAAGCCGTAGATGGACTTGTTGAGCTTGCACACCCTGCCCGTACCATCCTTATACCCAGGCGGCTGCGTCATGTACACATCATCCTCTAAAATCCCATTCAGGAATGCCGTTGAAATATCCATATGAATGATGAATTTCCCACTAACAGCTGCATCTGCCAACAAGACACGGAGGGTAGGGGGTTTGGCAGTGGGAGCAAAGATTTCGTTGAAGTCCTGCTTCTCCTTCTGCATAAACCCCTTCGCCACCAGCCTACTCTTGTAGATGGTGACCTGCCCCTTGTCATCGGTCTTGATCCTCAGCACCCACTTGCATTGTATCGCTTTCTTCCCATCAGGCAGCACCACCAGATCCCATGTCCTATTCTCCAGCAGACTCTGGTACTCAGCATCCCTAGAAGCCAGCCACTTGTCCCTATTGTTGGGTGCAAATGCACATTGCACGACATCCTGCCGTCTGTTTGTACGAGTATGCGTGTGCGAATGCATTTGCGTGTGAATGGTGTGTTCGTGTGTTTGTTTGCTTTCGCATTTTTCGCTTGATGCATTTGCAGGTACTCGCGCAATGTGCGCTTCGGCACAACATTGTACGCGCTATGAACAGTGCAAGCAGAAAGGACGTGCTCGCAAAGGAACCCAAGATGGAAGCTTTGCAGTTCGGTTGAGTTGATTGCGCAGATTCAGTTCTATCCAACTCAAAATTGTACTGTTTTGTTTGGTTAACTATAGTGTAGCAGGGAAGGCACTATAGGGGTACAATTTAGGTGAAGGTTGGATGTTGTTTGTCTGTATCTGCATGCTACAAGGCCAGGGGAAACCAGCGGAACCAGCATTTGGCTGGTTGGGCAAAGACAAAACAGGTTCTGTTTTTAGAACCTGAACCTGGTTGTTGTTTTCCCAGGTTGGAAAAACAGAACCAGAGGTTGTTTACCAACCTACCACCTGCTATTTTGTCCAGCCAGGTTGGTTCTGTTGCTTGGAATTATTTGGGATCATCCCTCGTTGTTCCCAGGTTGATTCCCAAGGTCCTTGCTAGCTAGAACTATTTAATCCTTCTCTGTTTGTACCTGAACATAGTCAAATTGATTCAAGCGAATTCCTTCCTCGCTGGAATTTCGTTTCTGCGCTATTCGACGGCGGAATGCTACCCGAGTCAACGCTAGTATGCTAGCACTCCAACGCTAGGCAAACACCGTCTGAGCCATAACTTCATAATGGCAGAACTTTTCGCGAGGCAACTTGGCTCATTTTAAAGCTCTTGGAGCGAGCTTCGATATAGCGAATTCTCAGCTTAATCCGATCGACGGTCTGCACGGCACGCTGCGCGACGTTCAAGGTACTCTTGCTGTTTTGACTAAGTCCTTCTTGATCCCTCTCTCTACAAACTCGGACCCGAGGATAGGGGCTGGTCTTGTATCAGGCACCCAGGGACCCTTGGAGGTGACCCCGAGGAGAGGTTTTAAGTTTGATTAAGTCCTAATAGCTTGAGTTTATTAGGCCCTTACACCAACAAGCTGGTATCAGAGCTGCGTTATAGTGATCCTCGTTATAGGTAGCTATGGCGGGCAACACCTCGGCGGGAGCTGGTGAATCTTCAGCCCAAGATCGTAGCGGCAGCCAAGATTCTGGTCTTTCAGCGCCAAGGGGAGCGCGAACAAACCAGGGCTCGCTTGTCAAGGAGGTGCTGAAGAATTTCACCGTCGAGAAGTTCAATGGTGAGGGCTATGATGATTGGGCCTGGAAAATGCAATTATATTTCCGTCAGATCGGTTTGCTGAAACTAATGATTGGGGAGGAGCCTAGACCGAGTGACCCCACGCTGCAGGAAGATTGGGACGAGCGCTCCTCGGCTGGCTACTATTTGATGTCGCAGAGTTTGGAGCTGAACCAGCGTCACCACGTCATGCACCTGCTGCCGGAGGTTGAATGCGGTCCGAAGGCGTGGACCGTGTTGAAGGAGCTGCACGCCCCTACCTCCGTTGTCGCAACGTTGATGCTGGAGAGGGAGCTGTCCGCGTTGCGCCTGAGCGAGGGAGAGCCGGTGCAACCAGTCCTGGACAAGATGCGCGACCTCTACGCGAAGTTGGCGACCGCGGGAATCACCTACCCGGAGCAGACCAAGTGCTTGAAGATGCTCTCGCTGCTGCCAGAATCGTGGCTTCAATTTACGAGCGGATTGAGCCTGCCGCAGAACCAGAGCTTGTGGACGCTCGAGTGGGTGCGGACGAAGATTCTGGAGGAGGACTTCCGTCGCCGCCAACTGAGGGGTGGAGACGATGGCAGCAGCGGCTACGGGATGCAAGGGAGCCGACGTGGCAGAGGACGTGGCTTCGGTGGTGCTGGACGCGGTGCAAAGAAAGACGACGACTCCAACGACCAACAAGGAGGTACCGGTTGGGGTCGCGGTGCGAAA